GTTAATTAATTAAATTGACATTAATTAATAAATAAAACTGTTAAATAAACTAACTAAACAACAAACAAATTATTTTAATGGGAAGGGTGAATCTCTAGCATTACAATATCAATTTTCAACATTTGATATCAATCTCATCTGGTTTAATTTTAAATCTCCTCTTTTATGTATAGTGACCAGTTTTTTTTTTTTTTTTTTTTCTTTCGAGATTGGCAACCGTGCTGAAATTCCTTCACTCTAGGAAAAGCAATGAAAAATTTCCTCACAATATTCCATAAGTCGAGACAAATAACACATATTTGACTTTTTAAAGCCAAAATTGCTGGCCTCGGTATCTAAACTTTTCCAAAAAGACCTTCGTTAGCGCTTATTAGTTCCTATTGTAATTTGACATTTTTTTCGATATGACCATATGAATTCATTGTCTACTGTGGTATTGCCATAGTCAAAGCTTTCTCAAACCTGGTTTCAAAATCTGAAAAAAAGGCATTTAAATGTTGAATGTAGGTTAAAACGTTCTGATAGATTGCCCGTGAGAAATTTAGAAAATTCGGGACCTCTAGTATTTTATTTCTTTAGCTTAAATCAGGGGAAAAAAAGCTGAAAGGGTTCCTGTTTTAATAAAATTAAGGCTGTCACCTTGTAAAAACAAATTAGCTTCATTAAATTTAGTAATAAATCTTTTTTCATTCAATTTAGTAATTTGGTTTACACGTGATTATAAATTTTCTTTTTAAGTTAAAGTTACGATCTAGTTTAATGAGAGCCAGTATCACATAGACCCCTATTTTCACCTCATGGACCCCCAAATACATTTTTGGCTGGCGTAGACCCCTTGGAGGTCGTCATAGATCCCTGGGGGTCTATATAGAACACTTTGGGAATCACTGCTCTATATCCTAACGTTTTTTAAACTGAGCATATTAAAAAGGTCGAAAACAAAAGATTTTTTGAAAAAATCATTAATTTACTGAAAGTAAACAAATAAAAAATATTTCTCACGTAATAAAACATAAATTGCACATTTGCAATCATATAATACACTTATAAATTTATCAGTACTCTGCATGGTATTTTATAGTTAATTTAACAATTTGAAGTTAAGAACAAGTTTAATAATTACCAGTGACCCCATGGGTTTGTCATATGTAAAATTATATTAAAAAATTAACACTTATCTTAATAATTTGCACGGTTTATAGATTTTTTTCAATTAAAAGTTTCGTAATTCGCTCCCTAAAGCCACCGTTTTCCACGTTGGCACGCGTATGTGCTATATTTACGGAATAAATAAGTAAAACGTTCTCTGAAAAAAGTAAATCCTTCGAAAACACTGTCAAGAGCCTTTTATTGCATTCGAAAGCCTTCGGAATAATTTTATTCATAGCAGAGCACATAGAAAATCGTACTTCGGAGAGACGTATATATACGTTCTCGGCAATTAACGCTTTGGCCGAGTGAGATATTTATATATACCAGTGGTACATAAGAGATTAAAGTCGTATTGTAGCTTTAGCGTCAAAGTGTTGCAGTATTATTGAATTCACTACATTGCTATTGTATTGAGAGTGGGTGATGAAAAATATGATTGAATATTGAGTCGCAAATATTAAAAGTTTGAGAAGTACAGCTCTATCTGAAGATTTTTATTTATACGTAAATGTCTAATTACAAAGCCATGTACCAGATGGCAGTTTCATTTTGCAATTTTTTTGAAGATGGTAATCTACATAAAATGTAATGAGGTATAAATTAGTACATTATATACTTCTTGCAATTTCTTATTGTTAACCTTCATATTGCTACTACTGAAAAATTCAGTCAAACTAAAGATTATAACGTTAAGTTAAGAAGCCACGAAGATACTTGAAAAGTATATTTTTTAAGACAAAAATAAATATTTGGTGATCTTTAACGCAACTTGATTTTAAAATAATTGAGGGAAATGCCGTTAAAAAATTCACACACACATGAAAATAAAAATAAATTAGTTCTAATTTACTATATTAGAGTACCTTACAGTATGGAAAAATAAGATTTTTTAAAAATTAGTTAATAAACAATAATTTTTAAAGTGAAACTCTTTGACGTATAGTTAAAAACAAATCTCTGAATAGTTTTCTTGTTATTATTCATATAAATTAATTAGTTTTTATATCCGCACCTCATAAATTGGGTTCTTGAATGAAAAAATTGTGATATTTGAAAAATCAGTTTTATATAATAAAATACATTTTACTTTGTTTTAAAATGAAAACTTTTTTATAGTCTTCGTATCGGAATTATATGGACCGTAATATAATGAAACATACTTTGAAAATTAATTAATAAACACGATATAATTTTTAGACTTATTAATAAATTATTATAAATATTAATTAAAATTACAAACACAATTTACATGAATACTTTTTTGATTTGTTAAAAAACTATATTCTTATATTTCCATTAATTCTTTAATTAAATAAATTTTGAATTTTTGGAGTTTAATTACATCTTACATTTAATTATTTAAAAAGGCGAAAATATTCCTACAAAAGAAATTGTTATGTAAATGAGTTTTAAGTTATTTATTCATATCAACAATAATATTAATAATTAGGAAAAGTTAACTTCGAAACAAATCTTCTTTGATTGATTAGATGTTTTGAAATATATTCCACAAATTTGGGCTCATGTAAAATAACAATTCTAACTCTCATTTTAATAATTATGTTCTATTCCTTTGGAAATAACAAACAAAAAATATGATGAAATGCAAAAACGAATTACTGATGGAAAATAATTTTCAATAATTTGTGTTGAACCTTCGGTAAACACATTTAACCGGCATTTTAGATCAGCTAATTAAATTATAAACCCATTCAAAGTAGCTGGGATAGTTTTCCATTAGAACTATTGAATTATAGAATTATATTTACGAATTAATGAAACAAGGGACGATTTCCAATTGATACAGAATACTTTAATGAAATATGTCTTAAAGAAACAAAACTGAGACTATTTCTAATTAGCTTATTTAATTAAGTTATAAAAATTTGGTCATTTTTCTAAAGAAAATGTCTTTAAAATTATAAAATATGTACGAAATTTTCCAAACCAGTATATTTAAGAACAATGAAAACAATGTTATCCATATACAATAACAGAAATAAACAAGTAATATAAAAAAATTAAAATCCTACTTAAGTTAAGAAAGTAAAAGTTTACTTTAATTACTTTTTATTAAATAGTTACAATGAATATAAATATGTACACTAGTGTCCACAAGTTAAGCATAATTGATAATTATGTGAATAAAGAAGGAACTGTAAATCAGAATGGCGGGAAACGTGATATGGAAGTGTAAAATGGTTATAAAAAAGGAAGCAAATCAAGAGAATGATAATAATTAATTTTATTATCCAAAGTAGAAATTTGAAAGAAAACTGAGCATAGAAAAGGTTCACATTTTAAAGAAAAAATGAAAGAAAACATTAAATAAAATACTGATGCTGCAGTTTAATAAGGCGTGTGGTCACCTCTGTCAGGCAGGCACGCTGCAACACGATTTACCATACTTGCTATGAGATGATGAATGAGTTGTGCACTCAAACGGTTCCAAGCTTCTTGGAGAGCACTCTTCAGTTCTGTAACGGAGCTTGGTGGGTACGAAAGGGCTGCAATTTGTCTCTCGAGCATATTCCATACATGATCGATAGGATTTAAATCAGGGGAGTTCGCAGGATACGCCATGTGCTGGATGTTTTCCGTTTCAAGGAATTAAAAAATCAGCACCGCTCGGTGACATGGCGAATTATCATGCATGAATATGAAGTAAGGACCGACAGCACCTTGAGACAAGTTAACATAAGGTTCAAGAACTTCGTCTCTGTATCTTTGAGCAGTCACAGACAACGTGTCAAAGAAATGAAGGTCTGTGCAGCCGTCCATCATGATGCCTGCCCATACTATTACTCCCCTTGATGGAAAATGATGTATTTCTGTTACGTTTCTTGGTTCAAAACGTGTTCAACGTTCTCTCCATATCGTTACCCCCCTAGAATCACTACTCAGACTAAACCGGGACTCGTCACTGAACATCACATTGGCCCATTCTACCACACACCGCTGTTGATATTTCAAACTCCAGTTCAAACTAGCGTGTTTATGCGCAGACGTGAGGGGAATGCAAACTGCTGGTCTTCTACCATACAGGCCAGCATGATTGAGTCTCCTGTAAACAGTTTGTCTCGAAATTCGTATTCCTTTGGTGACTGTGAGCGCCGAACCCATGCTCTGGAAATACTGCCCCTCTGACGTCGCGCACTTATTACCAGATATCGGCCTTGGCGAGGGGTTGTGACTCTTGGTCGACCTGATACTGGTTGTCGGGTAACATCTCCCGTTCTTTGAAACCTCTTCCACAGTCTTGAGATCACAGACTGGTCCACATTCAGTGTTTGAGACACTTCTTTTTGTGATCGTGAGGATTCCAGCATTCCAACGATTCTCCTTTTCGTATACATGTCCAATTGACGTCTTTGTGCCATCGTTCACCTGGTTTGATGGTTAACAACTTTCCTTCGCACAGCAGTGGCACGAAACTTGTCTGAACTGCCTATGCTGCGTGAATCGATTTCTCAGCGTTCCGACATGCGCCGGTGTTTCGCGTAGGACGTAGTCGACTGAAAAGTGTTGCATTAACCCAATGTTTCTTCTTCACCCAATTAATATCCGCAAGAAATTTGGAATAATTTTTCGAATATTTACACCATGTTTTTCGCATTTTACCATTTATGCTTAACTTTTGGACACCAGTTTATATACATATGACCGAATCACAATATTAACGGGGGAAAAATAAAGCGATATTTCTTAAAAAATTTTCCATTTTTCTTTCCATGTATATGATGTTAGACCATTACTTTTTGTTTGTTACTATTTATTCATTAATGAAACTTAATTATTTTAATGAAATAGTATAGTAAGAAAAGAAATCACATTCTTAGAAAGTAGACCATCCCATTTGGAATTCGAACCCATGAACTTTGGATTAGAAGTCCAACGCGCTATCTGTTGCACTATAGGGACATAACGAACGATTTTCCTTTCTATATATGATGTTGGATTTTATTTTTCTCTTTGTTACTATTTATTTGTTTTTAATTTATGTAATGAATTAATATTTGAAAAACTGTATTAACAGTGTCACCCACTACAAGTTTAAAAAAAATGTATTTGATCTTGAATGGATAAATAAAAAGTATTTAATTAACGATTGAAAATTTGAACAAGATATATAAAAATATATAGGGAGAGAGTGAACTAATAGTAGGAATTGAAAAAAAGATAAATTCCGAACATAATACTGGTTTGTACTCGTACAGTGCGTTACAAAACATTTTCTCTTGCTAGTCGCTTTGGTCTTCTATAAATATCATAGTATAATGGATTCTAAATATGTACTCGATTTTTATTGGTGTTTCTAAATAATTTTCTGAAGCTATTTAATTTTAATATAACATCCATCGTGCTATTTTCCGTATGTTTGTATATCTTTTAAATATCGCCATGAAAATTTATATCCATATAAAGTGTCTTTTGAATTCATAGATCACTAAGACGAAAGAAAAATACCGCGACTATTATTTCTAAAGTTTCCTAGAAATAAGTCAACTAATTACATTTTTTACATTCTAATTACACACTAACTTAAAAAATGTAGAAGAGAGAAGAAAATAAGTTAGAGTAGTTAATGTCGAAGTTTCCCAATTAGTGATCGCTTATGAGAAATAAGCATTATAAAATATGAAAATCCAGGTCAAAACTTTTAAAAATATGTCATGTTTTCATATAAAGCTTAAATTTAAGAATATTTTGTACAGCTTCTTAATTTTTCTACCCTCTGTGGTAGTTAACTGAAAGACTAATTAACAAACTAAAAATAGGTATTTATTAATTAAAGGAAAGTATATTTCCTCGTTAAACATATCTAATAAATTATAAGATCAATTATAAATTGAATAATTTTAACGTTTTGATTTTTTTTTATTGTTCTACTTTTAAATTTTTTTTTGTAATTGAATAATATGTACATTCTAAAAAAAAAAGGATTTTTTTTTTATATGAAGGTGGCCTTTAAATGATTTACAAGTATGTTGCAGTGACTAAAAAAATGTACTCAGATAATATTAATCTCTGTGGGCTTCTTAGGTATAAAAGTAAGCTTTAAAAGCAACTTTTTTTCTTGATTATTATGGCTTTATCGGGAAAAAAAATGTTAATTCGTTTTCTCAAACCGTAGTTCATTTCTAATCCCGCTCTCTAGTAGCGTATGAGTTCTTCATTCAAAGAACGACGTTTCTTTAGAGACAATCCAAGATTTGGTGTATTTTTAACATTTTTTGTTGGAATGAAGGTATGAACTGACTATTCCAGTGGTCTAAGCAAGTGGTAGTCTGAAGGAGTAATATCTGGAGAATTCGGTGGTTATGTATGAATTGTCATCAAATTTTTTTCAAATAATTTTTGAAGTATTGCCACATATTGTCGTATATTACAGTGCCGCAATATTACTTTGCCATTCAATCTGCTCATATTCCGACTGTTTCTCCTATAATGCTGACCAAATGCATCAATTATAATCAGCGGTTTTCCCCATGAGGATTTCATTTGTTTTAACAGCCCGTATTATAACTAAGGCTAGCTGATTCCAACAAATACAGACCATGAGCCTTACCTATATTTGGCACTAATGTTAATTTTTGATACAGAGCTGGGCGTACTCCATGACTTTTTACACTTTGAATTATCACAACGAATCTATTTTTCGCCACCTGTTTATAGTCTGCATTCATTATTTATTTCCCGGTTATTTTCCATCACATGTCTAAGTTCTATTCAACTCACTTAGTCCTGTCTAAAATTAATATCACAAAACAGTAACTTTTCAAGAAAACATAATAATACTTTGCTTTTTTTCTAGTTGATTCATTATTTCAAATTTCTTTCTTAATTCCAAGGTTTTACATTAAGAAATTATTGTGAAATATATATATATATATATATATATATATATATATATAATGATGTAAGACAGAAACGTCATTTGCATCTGGACCAACCTGCACAAGATAATTCTAAAGTCTCTTCTCACACTTTTCGAACGGTCCCTCTTCCTTAGATGACTACTTTTGCACCAATTCTCCTCGAGGCTTTGTTTGGTCAGTGTTTTATTTCGAGTCGGCTGGCTTGGAAAATACGGCATCTGTCGCGGTCAGTACATCACACGGGCGAAAATGATTTCGGATGAGTCGTGCGTGCGAAAGGATCACAACTCACCCCTCTGTGAAACACAAGGGACGTTCAAATATTCGCCTAAAGTATTGCTAAGTGAATAGAAAATTTGTAAGACTTGGACAGAATAAGTCATTTGCCCAAACATAGGTTATTGTACCGAGCGCGTTGGAGTAATTCAGTTTGTTAAATTTTACGCTATTGCAGAGCCATGAAGTTTCGTCTTTTGAGGAATAAATCAGAAGGAAATGAATTATTTGCCTTTATGATTAGATTTGGAAGTTATTTCAATTCTTCTACTGTTCACTCATATGTTTACATTCAAAGTTCAATGAGAGAAGCAAATATGTGTATTCCATTCGCTTAAGAGAGATAAATTTGATCTTTAGAATTGTTATTACTACAGCTTAACATAATGAATTATTTAAATATACAGAGAGAAAAGAGTAACACATTTTATGAATCATGTTAATTATATCACACATTATTTTGAAAGTAAAAAATAAGAAGATATAGTTTTATTTTGATGATTAAAACCTTATTTCCCTAATTATTAATCAGAAATGAAGGGAATCAAAGTCGTTCCTAGAAGCACAAGAAAATAAAATAATCAAATATTAATAGAATTGTTTTCTTTACTAATGTACTAACTAATTTTCTTACTAATGTTCTAACTTTACTAATGTTTTCTTTACTAATGTTTCTTTTCTAATATTTTGATAAGTAATTATATTATTATTCTGTAACTAAGACTTAGGATAAATTTTATTTTTAAATTTCATTTAATTTCATTGTACTAGTAAAAATTTGATTAGGTATAAAAATGAAAAAGGTTAGTATATTTTTAATTTATCATAGAATTTAAGAAAACCAAGAAGTAATTAGTGCTGTATTTTAGCATATTATCAAAGCACAACGCTTAGAGCTTTTTTCAACAACTTCAGTATACATTATATAATTTAAAATGTGTAATTTTATATTTTTCAAAGCACATATCTGCTTGTTTATAATTATGCGTGGATCATGGTTAGTATTTTTGCTCTTATAAAGTTATGCGGTTTGACATAAAATATGCCTTCTACAAAATAACCTTATAAAAATGTATGTTCACTATTTCGAAAATAATTAAAGGAAAAAAGAAATTTGTTGTTAAAAATCTTTTATATTTGCTCTGTATATATAAAAAAGGTAGAATAAAATGATAGCATATCTTATTAAGTTAAAAAATATATTGGATCTTTATAGAATAAATTAATAAATTTGATATTTAGAAAGTTATAACAGAAATAATGTAAATTTTTTATTTGTAAAATTATATTTTGAATTGAATTGAAAAACACCGAAAATATATTCTAAATTTCAAAAGTTTAGCTGAAATATTCGTAGTTTTTCTTGTTTGTGACTTTAATTTGCTTCAACTTATAATTCATCGGTAATTATGTACGATTAATATGAAATATCTATATTTAACTACACCTTTCACAGCGATTGCTTATGAAAAGAAAACCTTCTATTCAAATAACACGTTTGAATTATATTTGGTGTCTCAACGTTGAAATATTTTTTTCTCTCTCTAAAATTTGAATTCCCTTTTTCCTTCTTCTTTTATTTGAATAACAGATTTGACATCTTTCTTTCCATGACAAAGAACTATTTCTTTCCTGTCAAGATGATTTCGATCTCACATGAAACAGAAATAAGTATGCATATTTAGTGGTGACAGTGAAATTACATCATTTTTTCTCTGAGTTGGATCCTATTCAAAATACTTCATTTTAAAGTTGCACCATTCATTTTTTGGGTCTAAAAGGCAGAATATAAATAAAGGAGTTTCGTTTTAGGTGTGTTTCTTCTTTTTTTAAAGATATGGGGATAATAATATGTAGAATTATCTTATATTCAAGCGAAGAATAATTTGTTTTCGAAATGATTTGACCCACGACTCCACTTGCTTATAACTTCTATAGAAGTCCCTGACTTTAACCATAACCTGACTTCAAACATTTTATTTCTTGCATCATGTACTTAAAAAGAATATCATATTATTTTTGATCCTCGAATTATGCTAATTAAAGTATTAAGAAGTATACCTATACATGTTTTTAAAATAATGATATAAATCAAAGAAGCAATACTTTTACGACAATCTTAACATTTTCATGCTTAACTTTCTCACCAAAGGAAATATTTTCACCAATTGGAAAATTGGTAATTTCCGCTTATAATTTTAACTCTATCATCATTTTTTATACAAAACGTCAAAATAAAATTCTGGGACGTTTAGCGGGGAAAAAGGACTGGAAAATCAATTGGTTCCAATGATAAAACATTTGCGGGCAGTATTTTTATTCTTATTACTTATTTAAGTTTACTGTGATGTGTAATAATATTTTACTGTTTTCTCTCTGATGTTTTATGTTATCCGGTTAAAACTTTTTGCGATAATAAAGTATATTTGAAGTAGTGAAAACAAATGCTCGTTAAAACTAAATATTGACCCAAATTAAATTGAATATAAATATTTAAAACATCGTTATATATATGCATTATTATTATGGTTTTTATTTTACGTCGAAACAAACTAAATTAAATAGTTTCTAATACATACTCCTAGCAATTTTATGGTCATGTAAGGGTTGAAAAGAGAAAAATCAGTGATATTTCACAAAAGTAAGAAAATGTCACGAACATTGGTTCTGTATCTATTTTTTAAAAAAAAAATATTTTTCTAAATAGCTTTTTTAAATAAACTAAATTGAATTTACATAATCAGAAAAATTCGCTTTAATGTTACT